AGGCTCTACAAGCCTAGTGGACTGGAGAGCCAAGAAGCCTAGGGCTACAGAAGGGTTATGGAAACCCTGTAGAGATGGTAGTATAATCCAGAGATCTAGCAACAAAGGTCCTAGTCCTTCTGATATAGAAATTCTGAAGACCCTTGAAGATAGTAAACATCTGAAGGAATTTATTTAAAAAATGGATTAAGTCCAGAAACTTTGCTCAAATGACTAAGATACTTGTCCTGGAATTGTTTCTATCCAACCTGCTAGGTGATCTTCAGATCTGGGCTCTGGAGCAGAGACTGGGGAACTCTTTCTCCTAATGTCAGGATTTTCTCTCTGTAAGGCAGAAGCAGGAACAATGTTGAATCTGGTTAAGAACAAATCCCATCATTACTTGTGAGGTGAACGTTGTGGGATGGGAGACCCAAAAAGAAGATCGCTACCAATGTGACAAACTGTGGCACCTGAGGAGGTTTTGTTCCAGGGCTAAGACCCGCTCCTGGGGAAAATTTGGTAACTTTTCCATGTTGGGTGGGGGAGACCTTCGCTTCAAAACTAGTAGTACTAAAAGGAAGGCTAGTAAAAGCCTTGGTGGATTTGAGAGTCACCTGACCCTGGTTCAAGAACATGTTGAAACATACACAGCCAGTAAACTCAATAACAGTTAGGTGTGTCCATGGACGCACTAAAGCATGTTCCCTGGCAGCAGTTAAGCTCCAAGTAGATGGACAAGAGATTCCTATGAGAACGGGCATGGCTGAAAAGCTTCCTTTTCCCTGTAGTATTGGGGAAAGATCTTCCTAATTTCACTAACTTTAATAAAGGAGACTGATAGCCTGACTTCAAGTAGTAACAGTCATAATCAGTTGGGAAAAGGTTTTAAGGAAGAAGAGGATGAGGATCTATCTTCCCTTTTTTCAGATATTTTTGAAGGAGAGGGGAAAGACTCACCCTACCAGGGGAGAAAGGAAAAGGGCTAAGGGCTTGCAAGTATCCATATATACAATATGGATATTGCTAAATATCAGCAAGAGGGATTATGCCCTCAAACCTTTCTCTAAAGGACTAGGTGGGAAGAATGTTGGTCAAACTAAATTCCCTTACCGTATAGTCCAGAATGGTATATTGTATGGATATGTGAGCACCCTAAGACTGAAAAGTGAGTGAAACAGCTGGTAGTCACCAGGGTTTTAGGCAGGGGCTCATGAAGATGGCTCATCAAGTCCCTCCCCGTAGGCCCACTTAAGGAACAAGAGATTTTACAAAGATTTTTCTGGCCCAGTGTTCCTGAAGAAGTAGCTTAATGGTGTCAGTTCTGCCCTGAATGTCAGTTGGTGGCACCAGAAGCAATTAAGACAGATATCCATTGATTGAGTCCTACTGTACACATACAATTTGAAAGGATTGTAATGGATATTGTGGACCCGTCAGAATGGAGTACCCAGGGGAACAGATACATTTTAGTTATTTGACTGTATAACCCGATATCCTGAGGCATTCCATTTACACAGTGCTACTGCCAGGAGAATTGCAGAGGAGCTGGTGACCATGTTTACTAGGGTGGTGTGACAGTTTCTTGCGGTGCCCAGGACTGAGAGTCACCATTGTTTCCCTCCTACCTCACCAAGAGAGAGTCTGGCTGGTGCTAAACTGGTTGACCTGATCCGCCAGTCTTAGCCACCAAAGCAGACTCCTCAGAGCCTTGCAACCCCTCACTTCCCCTTGCAGGTTAGCAATAGGTGCATTCCAATCCCTAAGCTCCTCTGAAAGCATCCCCCTGTAGTATCCAGTCCTTAACCACTGGACGCTCACAGAAATTATCAGGTATGTTGTTCCCAAAAGCAACGGTGTACACATGCTGCTTGACTGGTAAAACTCACCAGTCAAACTCACTGGTAAAAAATCAAGTCCTTTATAACATCACAGCACTGAAATATATTTATTGTGAATCAAAGGTTAAGTTTTAAAAGGTAGCGAGTGAAGATAAGTGGAAACAGGGTTACACATATAACATAAAATGCAATCCTACGTCCATACTTACTAATGGTTACCTTTCCTATTTAATAAAATCTTTTTCCTATTTAATAAAGTAGATTCCTATTTAATGAAGATTTTTCTCCCAAGGATTCAGTCTTTGACAGTGCTGCTGGTTTTCAATCAAAACCAGGATCCAAGTTTTCATGAATACCCCATCCCCTTGAAGTGATTTCTTCAGTAAATGGACACCTCAAATGGCTTTCTTTTCTCCAGGTAGAGTCCCGTAAACATTTGAAATGCCCTCGTTGGTTGTTTGTTCTCTAGTGTGCTGACCCCATGTCAACTTCGCATCCTTATGTTGACTTGACATGCAAATGTAGCTCCCATTGTGTCTGGGTTATAATGTTTAATTCACATCAGAGGACAGGGATAGGTGAATAGACATGCTTTGCCTGGTAGAAAATCTGTTGGTCAACTCTGCCTTGTTACATAGTTTAAAACACGTTTTCAGTAGGAGCACATACCTCTTTAAATATCATCTGGACATACGTATCCTAGCGATATTAATGACCAGTGTGATACCAGCTTTTGTTTGACATTGGTCAAGGCACAGCTCTTTCATGGTATTTATCCATAAGTAGTATTAGGTATAGTGAGTTTCAGATCTGTTAGGAATTGTTGACATTAAGGCCGTGTCTACACTAGAGCCCTTACAGCGGCACAGCTGTGCTACAGCAGCTCTGCCGCTGTAAGATCTCAATGCCAACGGAAGAGAGCTCTCCTGTTGGCATAATTAAACTACCCCCAGCGAACGGACATAATGCTGTCCACGCTGGTGCTTCTGTTGGTGTAACGTACGTCACTGAGGGTATGTCTACGCTACAAAATTAGGTTGATTTTATAGAAGTTGATCTTTAGAAAGCGATTTTATACAGTCAATTGTGTGTGTCCCCACTAAGCACAGTCGGTCGGCGGAGTGCGTCCTCAATACCGTGGCTAGCATCGACTCATGGAGTAGTGCACTGTGGGTAGCTATCCTACAGTCCCCGCTGCCCATTGGAATTCTGGGTTAAGCTCCCAATGCCTGATGGAGCAAAAAACATGGTCGCGGGTGGTTCTGGGTACATGTCGTCAGTCTCCCCTCCCTCCCTCCTTGAAAGCAATGGCAAACAATCGTTTTGCGCCTTTTTTCCTGGGTTATCCATGCAGACGCCATAGCATAGCAAGCATGGAGCCCGCTCAGCTCAGCGCTGCTGTTGTGAGCATTGTAAACACCTTGTGCATTATCCTGCAGTATGTGCAGAACCTGGCTAGGAGCCGCCAGCACAAGGACAGTTGTGAGGAGGACATGAACAGAGATGTTCCTGAAAGCACGAAATGTGGCAATTGGGACGTCATGGCGGCAGTGGGGCAAGTTGATACAGTAGAACGCCGATTCTGGGCCCGGCAAACAAGCACAGGCTTGTGGGACCGCATAGTGTTGCAGCTTTGGGATGATTCCCAGTGGCTGCGAAACTTTTGCATGCATAAGGCTACTTTCCTGGAACTTTGAGTTGCTTTTCCCAGCCCTGAAGCGCAGGAATACCAAGATAACACCTGCCCTGACAGTTGAGAAGCGAGTGGCAATAGTCCTGTGGAAGCCTGCAAAGCCTGACTGTTACCAGTCAGTCAGGAATCAATTCGCAGTGGGCAAATCTACGGTGGGGGCTGCTGTGATCCAAATATCCAAGGCAATCAGTGACCACCTGCTAGCAAGGTTAGCGACTCTGGGAAATGTGCAGGTCATAATGGATGGCTTTACTGCAATGGGGTTCCCTAACTGTGGTAGGGCGATAGATGGAACGCATATCCCTGTCTTGGCATCAGACCACCTTGCCAACCAGTATGTAAATCACAAGGGGTACTTCTCAATGGTGCTGCAAGCGCTGGTGGATCAGAAGGGACGTTTCACCGACATCAGTGAGGGATGGTCAGGAAAGGTGCATCTTTAGGAACTCCGGGCTGTTCAAAAAGCTGCAGGAAGGGACTTTCTTCCCAGACCAGAAAATTACCGTTGGGGATGTTGAAATGCCAATAGTTATCCTTGGGGACCTAGCCTACCCCTTGCTCCCAAGGCTCATGAAGCCATACACAGGCATCCTGGACAGGGGTAAGGAGCAGGTCAACTATAGGCTGAAGAAGTGCAGAACGGTGGTAGAATATGCCTTTGGATATTTAAAAGCCTGCTGGCGCAGTTTGCTGATTAGTTTAGACCTCAGTGCAACCAATATTCCCATTGTTATTGCTGCTTGCTGTGTGCTCCATAATATCGGAGAATAAGGGGGAGACGTTTATGGCGGGGTGGGAGGTTGAGGCAAATCGCCTGGCGGCCAGTTTTGAACAGCAAGACACCAGGGCGATTAGAGCGCAGCTAGGTGTGCTGCGCATCAGAGAGGCTTTGAAAAACAGTTTCATGACTGGCCAGGCTATGGTGTGACAGTTGTGTGTGTTTCTCCTTGATGCAAAACCGCCCCCTTTGTTGAATTTACTTCTCTGTAAGCCAATCCCCGTCCCCCGATTTGACCACAGCTGACAAAGGAAATAAAGTCCCTATTGTTTTGAATCCATGTAGTCTGTCTTTGTTTAAAAATAAAAAAGTGCGATCACTGACAAGGTTGCCCGGGTGGGGTGGAGGGAAGGACAAGGCCACATTGCTTATTGTAGTCACACTACAAATCAAAGCTGTTTGAATGACAGCCTTCTGTTGCTTGGGCCATCCTCTGGAGTGGAGTGGCTGTGTGCCCGGAGCCTTCTCTCCTCCTCCCTCCCTCCCCCCCCCCGCAAGCTTTCTTGGGCGTCTGGATTAGGAGGATATGGAACTTGGAGAGGAGGGCAGGCGGTTATACAATGGATGCAGTGGCGGTCTGTGCTCTTGTTACCTTTCCTGCAGCTCCACCAGATGCCTGATCATGTCCGTTTGCTCCCTTATCAGCCGCAGCATCTCCTCCTGCGTATTCTGATCACGCTCACTGAATGCTTTCCTGGCCGCTGCCACTGAATGGTCAGGAAAGGTCCATGCATTCAGCTGTGCCCTATCAGCGTGGGAGGACTGCATGAGCTCGGAAAACATGTCATCGCAAGTGCTTTTTTTTTTTTTTTCTTCCCACCTTCTAATCTGTGATAATCTTAGAGACTGAGTTGATACGGGGAGCATAGAAATATTTGCACCTGCAGGGGGGATAAAAAGGGAGAATAAAATTTAAGAGGATACATTTCTGAGAACAAAAGGGAGACACTTTCACAGTGAATCAAGCAATTCACAGCAGACAGCACCTGTGCTTTAGGTACAAGGTCGCATTTTGCCTTTTATATTGAGCGCCTGCTGGTATGGTGACACATCACACACAGCTGGGCAACAGAATTCGGTTTCCAGGCAGCCATGATAAGCCAAAGACTACACGGGGTTGGCTTCTTCCGCCTTCATAACATGTGGGAATGGTTTCAGACTGCAGCGCCCTCCTTTCCCATAGCAAGCAATGCCAGTGGGGTTTGCCTTTTAAAAGGAGGGGTTGCGGTTTTGGGGTGGATGTGCAGCACACGCCTCCCCGCCACCGCGTGGCTATTCTCCAGGATGATCCCTTTTAGCCAAGCACAGATAGTCCAGCACGAACAGGGTCCTTTTACTGTTCCCTTACAAAAATTCCCCTATTTCAACTAGGTGACTGTGAATGATATCGCTCTCCTGAGGCTGACACAGAAAGATAAAGCCCGAATGTTGTATGAGTGCGACCAAAACCCAGGATCGTTTGCTGCCATGCTTTGTGCTGCAATGATTCCAGAATACTTGGTACTGGCTTGGCGTGGTAAAGTGTCCTACCGTGGAGGACGAAATAAGGCAGCTCTCTCAAGAAACCTTCTGCAAAGCCTTTCAGAGTACCTCCAGGAGAGCTTCATGGAGATGTCCCTGGAGGATTCCAGTTCCATCCCCAGACACGTTAACAGACTTTTCCAGTAGCTGTATTGGTTGTGAATGCATCCCAATTCTTCAGGGCAAATCATACATTAAACACAATTGCTTTTAACCCCTGTACTGTAGTTACAAATGTGCACTCACCAGAGGTGCCTTTTCCACCTTCAGGTTCCAGGAACTCACCTTGGGAGGGTATTGGCTCTAGGGTGATGAAAAGGTCCTGGCTGTCAGGGAGAATGGATTCTCCACTTGCCTGCTGCGCATTCTCCTCCTCCTCCTCTTCCTCATCCACAAAAGCCTCTTCCGTGTTGCGTGAGACTCCCCCCTTGCAGGTGTCCAGGGTCAGTGGTGGGGTACTGATAGGGTCGTGCCCCCCCCAGAGAATGGCATGCAGCTGATCGTAGAAGCGGCATGTATAGAACTCTGACCTAGAGCGACCGTTTGCCTCCTTTGTCTTGTAGTAGGCTTGCCTGAGCTCCTTAACTTTCACGCAGCACTGTTGTGTGTCCCTGGTGTAGCCTCTCTCCACCGTGCCCTGTGCGATTTTGGCATAGATATTAGCATTTCTTCCTTTGGATCAGAGTTGTGCCTGCACAGATTCTTCTCCCCATACAGCAGTCAGATCCAGTGTCTCCCGTTTGCTCCGTGCTAGAGCTCGTTTGTGATTCTGGGACTGCATGGTCACCTGTGCTGCTGAGCTCGCCGCGCTGACCAAACAGGAAATGAAATTCAAAAGTTCCCTGGGCTTTTCCTGTCTACCTGGCTAGTGCATTGGAGTCGAAAGTGCTGTCCAGAGCGGTCACATGGAGCACTCTGGGATAGCTCCTGGAGGCCAATACTGTCGAATTGCACAAAGCTGCGTCTGCACTACCCCAAATTCGATCCAAGAAGGTCGATTTTAGCGCTACTCCCCTCGTCGGGGAGGAGTACAGCAGGCAATTTTAAGAGCTCTTTAGGGCGACGAAACGAGGTTGGTTGTGTAGCCGCATTGCTTATAAAATTGACCTAACGTGGCTAAATTCGACCAGCCCTTGGGTGTGTGTTTTTTTTTTCTGCACCTCTGAGCGACAGTTTTGCTGACAAAAGTGCTAGTGTAGACATAGCCTAAGTAGTGAACCCTTTGTCAGCTGGCAATGAGTGGTTCTTAGGGTCACAGGTGGAAATCCCAAGAGAAATTCAGATGGATCAGGGAGCTAATTTCCAGGCATCCCTGATAAGAATTATACCAACTCCTGAGCATTAAACCCCTGCAGATGACCCCTTATTATTCCCATATAGCCTAGTGGAAAGGATTGTTCAATCCCTTAAAAAGACGTTGAAAAGCTATGTAGTCAGAACTTAGATGAAGGGTTACAGTGTTGCTTTGTCTCTTATTTTCATATTGAGAAGTCCCACAAGCTCAGTTCAATTTGTCGTGCGGCCACCAGCCCTCGTGGTCCATTAGACGTGATTGAAGAAAGTTGGGAGAGACAAACGGTTGACTCCTCCAGTGTTGTTATGTTATAAACATGAGGAACATACTTGCAGAACACTTCCACTACCTAAAGAACATTTAGAGAATGTCCAAGCTAGACAAGCTAGGTGGTACAATAAACAGGCCCGGGAACAACAGTTTAGGATGGGGAGTAAAGTTCTGTTGTTACCGAAAATAAGCTGCTAGGTAAATGGCAAGGCCCATTTATTATAATAAGACCAGTAAAACTGGTGGATTATGACATCAAACTCTCAGAAAAGAGAGAGATACATTTGTTAAATGTGTTAAACTCTGGATTTAAAGGAAAACTAGGAATTTAACATCAGTGCTCCCTGAAGTACATAATAATGTAATTATGACAGATTAAAAAGTACAGGAGATCATCCCACAAAGCAGTGGATTAATTGCTGAACATGCAGATTAGAACTGGTGTATCAATAAATTCCAGCACATAGTTTCTGCTGTGCCTGGAACAAATGATGTGATTCAGTATGTTATTGACAGGGAAGGGCATGCTCCTCTCCCCAGAAGATCATGTCAGATTCCAGGACATCTTGAAACTTAAAAGTGGAGGAGGAAATAAAGCAAATGTTAGCTCTGTGAATAATTGAGCCATCAAACAGCCCTTGGGTGCTCTCCAATAGTGATAGCTAAAAAACAAACAAACCTGAGGAAAGCCACTTCTGTATAAATTTAAGAAAACTGAATGCCATTTCAAAATTTGATAATTCCCCTATGCCACAGATAGATGATTTGTCAGATTTATTAGGCAGTACTACATACAGTACCTTGGATTTAGCCTCAGGTTATTGGCAAGTTCTCCTTGAGAAGGAGTCCAAATGTAAAACTGCCTTTACCTTGTCTCAGGGACTGTATCAGTTTAAGATAATGCTGTTTTGCTTGTTTGGAACCTTAGCAACATTCCAGTGCCTTGTGCACTGGCTATTATGGCCTTATGTAGGCTATGCTATGGTGTACCTAGATAACATCATTTACAGTCCTGATGGGGAAAGTCCCCTGAAGCACATAGAGTTGGTGACAGGTGCGATAGCTAAAGCCATTTGACTGTTAATCTTCAAATGTGTTGCTGGGCAGTTCTGAGACCAGATAATGAGGATATATTGTTAGCAATGGAAAAATTAAGCCAGAAGTGTCCAAGGTTAAAGCAGTTATGGAGGCTGCAATCCCCCTCACAAAGAAAGAGGGGAGATCTTTCCTGGGATTAGCTGGCTATTATCATAGGTTTATTCTCCAGTTATCACAGATTACTGTTCCTCTGATGGATTTAGTAAAAAAGCCAAAAAGAAAAGGGCTAAACTAGACTGAAGAATGTCAAATTGCTTTTGATGCATTAAAAAAGGCCTGTAGCACAGAACTCCTCCTGTAAATCCTGTCTTAAGAAACCCTTTATAGTTTAACCAGAAGCATCTGAAGTAGGATTGGGGGTTGTATTAATCCAAGAGAAGAAAGGAGAAAAATACCTAATCTCCTATATTAGTAGGAAACTATTCCTAAGGGAGCAATGGGTCAGTGCGCTAGAAGAAGAATGTCTTGCAATAAAATGAGATGTAGAAATGCAAAGATATTACTTGTTAGGCTCCATTCTCATCCTAGTAACTCATCACCATCTGCTCACCTGGTTAAATACAATGAAGGATAAGAACACATGCTTTACTAGGTGGTATTTAGCCCTACAACTGTATTAATTGGAGAGAACACTTGGGAGCAGGAAGTCAACACACAAATGCTGACCACCTGTTGAGATATAGAGAGATGCAGATGGAAACAGTAGTTCCCTCTTAAGGGGAAGGGCATGTGACAGGGTTGTCTGAGGCTTTGTGGAGCTGTATGAGTTAGGGAAGCCTTTTTCCTCTTTTAAGAAGTTTCTGTGGCTTATAAAACTAATTGTGTTGCATGAGATATGATTGAGTAAAAGTTATATGAATGGAGTATGAATGTTTCCCTTTCCTCCCCCCACCTGTTTTGTCTATTTATGGTGCAGCATTTTCCTGTTCTAGTTCCTTTTTCACTTTCTTTGGGAATTAAATAAATTCCAGAGTTTGAGTGCAGGCACCTTGAAATAAGTTGAGGCTGTCATGACAACAGTTAGCCAGGAAAACAGGAACGAATCCAACTATGAAAAGATCCAGTGAGGCTTGGTGAGGAAGGTAGAGTCTGGGCCAGTCAAGGCAGGGGTAGGGTCAGGTAAGAGCAGCTTTCCTGAGTGTGTGAATGGGGAGTAGTTCTGAAAGATTGCAAGCCTTATGCGTGCAGGTAAGGCTGAAGCCTGTGAACTGAGACTGCTGCCTTCAGAATGAAAACCCGGATGCTCAGACCAGGAAGTTGAGAGCAGAGTACTGAAACTGTTATGCAGTCAGTTTGAAGGCTGAAAGCTACAGGCAGGCCGAATCTGGATGCTGGGATGGTTCAACCTCATGAGCTGGTGCAGCATCGAGGAAGATTTGCATACTGAAAACCCTGGCTGTAAAATCAGAATTTCTTTTGGTTTATTTCTGATGCTTTGGCACGTCCTTTCGCAGTTTGGGGAAAGGTGAAATAAAATTTATGTTTAACCCTCTGCAAAGAAAGCACCTGTGACTTTGTTTTATTAAAGCTAGGTCCATCACATTTAGAGCCAGAATCTTTATAGAAAGGCTGCCAGCTGAGCTTTAAAGACGATCACCAACCCCCTCCCATGGATTACACCACTTTTGTCTGTTCTAATAAAATAATAGGATTTCTCTTTGTAATAGGCCCTAAATAGACTACAGCATCCCTGTGCTTAGAGTAGACAGACAGCAGGGTGAGAGTCTTTCTCTGTGCATCCAGTTCTGTATAGGCCTTTATCTCTAGGGCTCGTAAGTGCTTTGTTAATACAAATAATAAATATCTGACCCTCATTACCATAGTATCTGAGCGCCACGATCATTAAAGGATTTTATTCTCTCAACACCCCTGTGAGGTAGGGAAGTGCTGTTTCCATTTTACACCTGGGAAACTGAGGCATGTGACTTACCAAAGGTGTCATAGGAAGTCCGTGGCTGAGCCAGGAATCAAATCCAGCTCTCCTGCATCCCAGTCCAGTGCTGTAACTACGAACTGTCTTTTCTGCTGCCCTGAGAGTGTCTCAAGCACCTAGCACAGATACGTGCATTTGGGAAGTTTAATTTTTTTTACACTGTTGGGTATAAAGATTTGATGGTATCCGTCAAAGTGTTTGCCAGAGGGAGACTAACAATTTTGTATTAGCAGGAAATTAAAAACCAAAAACCCTTCGGTACTAAATCTTTGTTCAAAATTCAATGGCTGTAGAAGTCAATATGTAACTGATTCAGTAGTTGTCAGATTTGACCAGTGTGTATGTTAGGAATTCATTGCCAGATAGAATAGACAGTAGAACAGCTGCCCATGGAGATACCTGCTGCCCATCTGATGTGTTTAACTTCCCCTCTCAGAAAGGCTGGTAGTTAACAATGGTTTTCAGATGAAGGGAGAAATAGACAATTTAGCGATTAAAATTGACTCCTCCTAAGCCCATGTTTAAGTGTGCGTGTGCACCCCCTCTACTAAATAGAATGAAACGTGACCATGTAGGTTCTTTTCACGGTCTAGTGGCTGAGACCCACAAAGAGAAAAGC